ACATTCTTTTTTTTATCAAAACAATGTACTGTGTACACATATGAATAGTGTACATGGCGTTCAAGCTACCATTCTACCGCCTATAAACATTCGCCTATAGCTGTGAATAGAATATATGACAGGTCAACGTATAATAGAGTATCTAGTAAACGCATACTCGAAAAAAATGCAAAAACTAATAACGGTAAGACCACACAGGATCATGGGCGAAATCAGCAAGAGCCTGCACTGTATGTTCACAGTTGGTGGCTTAATATCAACCTAATTCCTATGCCATGACGTGATTATTAACAAAATGTGGAACAACGTTCAAAAGTGCAGCGCAGAGAGGGGAAAGCTTGGAATAACTTCGATTACTAAAAAGAGGCATATGACATAATTCAAGCCGTTCATAAAAGCAAGTGGGCTTGTGTAGAACACATTGCTGGAAGAGATGATGACTCTTGGTCAAGGATGTTGATGGAGAGAATCAGAATATTTATTTATAACTGGAGGTATCCGATTAGCTATAAAGCTCTCTTTCGCAGATGTCCAGTAGGGGCGGATCATTGGCGCAAAATAAAATAAAATGTTTTCGCTCCAGATGACGCTGCAAAGTATTATCTGTATTTTGATTTAGCGTACTGATCTTAAAGGTGCATTGAAAAATGCGATACTCCGACTGATGCTTCTGTTGTTGTGGAGTAACTCATGCAGCCAGCTATGGCTCTAGGATTTGGTGTTACTGTACATGTTATTTATGTAGTTTATTGTAAAAATTCGGTCACAGTCCCTATGATCACTGTTACGTTGCAATTATGGCTTTATGTTTTGGTGATTTCGAAAACGTTCTTTGGTTTGGACATGTTTGTTTTGTTGTAGTACGGAGTTAGACTGATGGCCTTAATCTAAGTTTGCTTGTGGTTGTTGTTTGACTTGCATCCCACTGGGATTTTTTTGCACACAGCGTTAGTGTACGGTGCTTTTTTCAGGAATATTTTGCTGTTTTTTTTCCTTGATTTTCTGTTTGCACAGTCAAATAGTCACTTTAAGATGTTTTCTTGTTCGTGTTTTTGTTTTTTTGTTTGTTGTGGTTGCACCCGATTCAAGAGCCGAATGGCTCACAGGGCTATACCAAAATAAAGAAACTGAAACTGAAAACAGAAGGACAAACAGTTCAAAAACACGACGGAGTGTCACGGATAGGTGAAGGTAAACATATTACGAAAAAAAGTTTTATTTGACTAAGCTCCACCGAGCTCTTCGCTTCTTGTTAAGAAGCTACCCGACTATCACAAATGATGGCTCAACGAAAAGTGGCTTTCCTGTGGACATTTACGGCAGCCAAATAATTATCTAAGGGTCGTAACGCATCAGAAAGGACGAGCACGGAGAAGATGGGTAGCAATCAAATGATCATCATCATCACATCACAGAACCGTGCTTGATGGTGACGGCCTGGTGAGACTTTCATCCAGCGGTAGATTGATCATGGCTGCTGCTGATGCATAATTTATGCAGCAGTTATTAATAAAATACTGCAAATGAAGGTGAAATGCGTACACAGATGTATTTATGTTTTGTCATTTTTTTGCTGTCGTGCCCCTTAAAAAAGGGTGCGAACATCCTATTACTTTCTTATTGGAATTGTTTTTTTTTATTATAAGAACTTTCTTTATTTAACTTAATTGTTCTATGTTTGATTGTTCTATTTCAATTGAAAATTGGAATGAATATATATTGGAAGCAATTAATATCTTTTAAGTTCTCATCCTTGCATTAGAATATATAGAGCAGTTCATATTTTGATGGTATCACGTGGTAATGCTCCATCACGTGTTTTAAGTCTATTACACAGTGAATATTGAACTGAAGCTTGACTTAAAAACATTTTTAATCGCAAATCAAATCGCAATATCTGTCAGAAAAATCGCAATTAGATATTTTCCCCAAATCGTTCAGCCCTACTTGGTGATGCAGGTCCATGTACACACGACAGTTACACATCAACAGAGGGCCCACGAGTCATTGCCGGCTTCTGGGATAGCAAATTCTTGCTTAACCCAGCTGTTATTTACGTGAGTTCACCAGGGCATCTCTCTGTTTCATTAGCAGCCATTATAAAACATTGCAAAACAATGACATTTTCATTTCAGCGGTGGAAATACTGGCGGTACACAATACGACGTACCAGCAGTGCATGTTGCAGTCTATCGATCGATGTTATTCGTCATGCTGTTCAAATGGAAGGGACCATTGTATTAAGGCTCGGTCACCATCGTTGCAATGTGGAATTGCAACATTATAAGCTCTGGTCTGTCGTGAAATACCTTTGAATATGATATACAGTACTGTAATTATTGTCCATCTATGTTTATCAAATTTTACATATCTCTTTTAGTCAAAGCAACATCACTTTTTTAAGCAAATAAAGCTCTTGTCAATGGGAATCCACTGCAGAAACGTGCCTTTAGATTATTTGGCTGATATCAATTTCCACATGATAAGCCACTTCGTTGAGCTATCATTTGTGTTCCAGATTTGAAGTTTTCGTGACTGCAAGGATTCATACTCTTTGTTTTTTTTTTCGGTAAAGTCACGTAGGTAAAAAATGTGTCTGTGACCCTCGGCACAACACGTGTGTGTGTGTGAAGTTGTCACAGCACTGTGTGTGTGTGACCCTCGCCACAGCACGTCGTGTGTGTGACCCTCGGTAGAGCACGTGTGTGTGTGACCTTGGCACAACAGCACGTGTGAGTGTGTGACCCTCGCCACAGCACGTGTGAGTGTGTGACCCTCGCCACAACACGTGTGTGTGTGTATCACCCTCACCACAGCACATGTGTGTGTGTGACCCTCGCCACAGCACGTGTGTGTGTGTATCACGCTCACCACAGCACGTGTGTGTGTGACCCTCGGTAGAGCACGTGTGTGTGTGACCTTGGCACAACAGCACGTGTGTGTGTGTGTATCACCCTCACCACAGCACGTGTGTGTATCACCCTCACCACAGCACGTGTGTGTGTGTATCACCCTCACCACAGCACGTGTGTGTATCACCCTCACCACAGCACGTGTGTGTGTATCACCCTCACCACAGCACGTGTGTGTGTATCACCCTCGCCACAGCACGTGTGTGTGTATCACCCTCACCACAGCACGTGTGTGTGTGTGTGACTTTATCAAGGGTATCCGCCAGCCTTGCACTTCACTCGTCTGCTTGCATAAGCGCTGTTTATTCATGCAAGAGGTTGGAAAAATCTATAACATGAATGAGCAAAACACTATGACAATACCTCTTAAAATGTGTTCAACCCACTCCAGCCAGTCGAGTGGCGTGTTGCATAAAACTAACATCAACTTGACAGAGCCAGGGAAAGTAACGCGGCGCACGCCTGTAATCCAGAGCGTTGGAGGCAGGGGTTGGTGGATCACGAAATAATTTGTGAAACTTAAGTTTTTATTAAGTTTAAAGCAGATGGAAACTCTGGAAACTCCCAGACCCGCGAGGTTTCGATGCGTCCAAGAGGTGGCAGTATAGCAAGTGGTTTCTTGAATCAGGTGTGCAAATGTTTGTGCATCACCCCTGAATATGTATGATTTTGCAGATTTTATTCATGAAAATACATTTTATTCAGTGGAAACTTGATGCAGCCATCCAATCTCTGATGCAGTTAATTAAACTTTTCACAAATCAAGGCCTACATAATTAAAACCATATAGTTTCAACTAATTACAAAATTACAGCATTTTGCAGTTAGGGGTTTGTGGATCACGTGGAGATTGTGAAACTCCCATTACGTTCTGGGGCTGCGAGGTTGAGCGATTGGCTTTCTTGATCCCATCTGTGCAAATGTTCCCGAGTGTTCTCACTCCCTAGTGTGCCTTGGATATGAATTGGCCACACGTTTGCCGTGCTGGTAGTGTTGTTGCGTACACAAGCAGAATTACTCCATCGCGTGAACTCCGGTCACACTCGCAGCGATTTTCAGACGCGCTTCCGCGGCCGTCTGGAACGTTCTGCCTCCCGACATTAGGAAGCTGCTGGGAGCTACGCAGCTTTAAAATCACCCAGATTGACGATCTCATTTCTTTAGAACAGCTTTAGCAGAGTATAGTTTGTTTTTTTGTCCGTCCCCACGCACCTTCCGATTGTAGCACGGTTGGCCACGTTTCGGTGCGAAAGAAGTTCAACGCACATACACAGGGCCAGCCGAGTAGGGTAACTCGCACTGACACCGGCATTTAGTTGCAGGCACTAACAGAGCACGATGCTCACGTATTGATACTGCAAAGCGCTGTGTTAGTGTTTGAGTCGAATGGGGTAACGAGCACATCAACACAAATTCCCCGGTTGTTTTAAGTGTGGATACTAACACAGCAGCGCTGGCGACTCGGTTACTGGTGGCACCGTGCTAACAGCACCGACTACAGGCAACTGGAGATGTCTTGGTGATTTTGGAAAACGTTTTTTGGTTTGGACATGTTTGTTTTGTTGTAGTACGGAGTTAGACTGATGGCCTTAATCTAAGTTGTCTTGTGGTTGTTGTTGTTTGACTTGCATCCCACTGGGATTTTTTTTTGCACACAGCGTTGGTGCACGGTGCTTTATTTTTCACGAATATTTCTGCTGGTTTTTTTTCCCATGGATATTCTAATTTGCACAGTCACACACAGTCACTTTTAGATGTTTTTCTCGTTCGTGTTTTTGTTTGTTTGTTGTGGTTGCACCCGATTCAAGAGCCGAATGGCTCACAGGGCTACACCAAAATAAATGAAACTTTAACTGAACTGAACGAGGCAAGTCGGCTGGCTGCCTGGGCTCGGGCGAGCCGTTGAGTGAATGCGGTAACGCGCACCGCCTCATTTACGTCGAGTGAATGCGGTAACGCGCACCGCCTCATTTACGTTGAGTGAATGCGGTAACGCGCACCGCCTCATTTACGTCGAGTGAATGCGGTAACGCGCACCGCCTCATTTACGTCGAGTGAATGCGGTAACGCGCACCGCCTCATTTACGCACTCGCGCTTTGGGTGCCTCGCGCTCGCCGTAGCCGAGCGGCCCCCAGTGCCCAGCTGCTCGCCCCGTGGCGCGGACCCGGACCGGGACCCGGGACCCGACCCAGGCTCTCATCCTCCTCCTCCTACTACTCCTACTACTACTCCTCGTCCTCCCTCCTCCTCCTCGTCGTCGTCCCCTTCGTACTCGTCGTCCCAGAGAGAACCCCCCAGCCCAGCCCGCCCGCTCCACTACCACCACCACACAGCAAGCTTTAGGCTAACCACAGAACCGCCCGGGGGGCGCCGAGGTCTCTGAATCGGCAACAGTCGGGGTCTTGCAGAGGAACCCAACAGGACCAACCGGTCGCCGCCCTCCTCCAGCAGCGACTGTAACAGCAGGGATCTGTTTGAAGAACCCGGCTGAGTTGCTCCCATCGACTCTCGAGACCCTTGCTCGAGGACTGGGCCGCCCCCCCCCCTGGCCAGCCACGACTCGCCCCGAGACGGAACCCGAGACCCCGCACTCGACACCAACCCCGGCTGATTGCTCATCTGTCGTCCGTCTAGACCAGGACCCGAGAATCCAGCATCCAAGGGTCCAGGAGGACTCTAGGACTCAGGGTCGCAGGACCACCACCACCACCACCCCCACGTCCCCTCGCCAGGACCCGTGCACAGAACCTCGCCCCGCGGGCCCGAGGCAGCCTCTGTGGGTATCGCCATGAGGAGGAGGTCGCGGCTTCTGCTCTGCTTCGCGGGCCTCTGGGTCGTGGGAGTCGCCTACTACATCTACTGGGGCAGCGGCGCGACGCACAGGGTGAGAGGAAGGGGGGGGGAACGCGGGGACGACTCGGCGGTCTCTCGGGTGTGGACTGGGGGTTGGTGGTTCGATGGGGTTGCCCAGGGCTCTCGTGGCCACGGACTCGGCCTGCCCCCCCCCGTCCCCCGTTCCTCGGGCTCCTGTCGTCGCTGTCCCCGAGGCTCATTTCCCGGGGCTTCGATTGCTCGTCAGCGTTTACCGGGGACGAACGATGGCGTTCCAGAGTGGTCACTCGGGTTATTATCGTTATATAAGGGTCATTAGACACACGTGGCGTATTGGAGTTTTGAATAGGTTTGTATGAGACTTATAGACATAGACTACGGTAAGCCCCTGGGGGTTCCTTAGCCAGCGCGTAGGGTTGGCTGAGGCCCATGGGCACAGACTAAGACAGCCCTGGGGGTCCAAAGGGTAATTTAGCTCAAACAAGACTGTTGGAGGCAGATCAAAGCAAGTGTATATACTTAATTGGACTCATCGGGACAAACTAAGGTATCCCTGCGGTGTTGCCCATTCGTCTTAATTGAGGCTCATAGGGGCACACTGAGAGGCAACACGTGCATTTCTTAGGGTGCATTAGACTCATAGGTTCAGAATAATAAGTCCTGAGGTTCATTGCACAGCATCTGAGGCTCACTGGGGTAGACCCTGGCACCCTCGGATTCCGGGAGGTCAGTGGGCTTAAATGAGGTTCATAGAGACGGAGATGTGTACATCGTTGCGTTTTGTAAGTCATTAAACTTGTGATGTTCATGAGTGCACGTTAAAGCACCGTTGTGCTTTTTGAGATTATTTATGCCCCAAGTGAGGTCCTACAGAGCCTCGTTAAAACGCCACTGGATATCTTAGCATCTATTCTTATTATTATTGTCTGGTGATATTGAATTTGCGGTAGTGAACAAGAACAAAAAAAAACTCGACATATTCGTCAATACGGTAATTTAAATGTGTCTCTGTACTTGGTGTGGCTAAATTCTAGACGTGATAATTAATGTCAGTTTGAACGTCATGCACTGAACACTACTGTCACATGCAGAGCGGGCGGGGAAGTGTTTGCTCACCTAGTGTGTGGATCAGAGGTCACTCGAAGGGATATCTCTCAGAGGGAACTCTGTAAATCTACTTAAGTGAGCCATTTTCTTAACACGAAGGGGCTACACTGTGCGAGAGAATCCGAATGGGGGGGGGGGCGCTTTATCTCGCGACAAGGCCGGATAGCGCAATCGAAATCAAACTGGGGGAACGCGTGACCGAAATGACAAAAACGTGCTATAGCAGCCTCTGGAGGTTTTTAGACCTGTCCAGCACCCACAGAGCCAAATAAAGCCATCATTGTGGTGCTTGCGGTCTGTTAGAATTGTCTGAACAACAAACAAAACTCCGAGCCACAAACTATGGCTCATTCGTGGGGGGCATGGCAGTTGAGAGGAACAGGAGGGTGGCAATAGTGCAGAGAACCACAGGGCAGAGGGGTTCAAATTAATGCATAGTTTAATTCTCTTGCACCAGGGCCCATGTCAACCACTCAGCGCTTAATGGATTCGGAGAGTGAAAACTTTAACTCGCGTCAAGCGCTTTTTTTTTGGTGTTCCATTCGACTTGGTCTTAAGACTCTCGGTGTGCATTGGGAATGTCTTTCTGATTGCTCCGCTGCGTGGGCTATGGTTTCGTGAGTTCGCCTTAAAGCCTTTCTTTACGCTTCAGTGCCAGTCCCTTACAGCTCCTCACGAGTGCCGTGTCACGTGAAGGCACCACCATCACCACCACCAGCGCCACGAACTCGTTATGTGTGCAAGGGGCTGGGAGAGCCAGCGGGCTAGAGCGTGCATGGTACAGTTTAAAGGATGAGGCACCCCCAGAAACACAAACAGCTCTGTTTTGTACGGGTCACCTCGGCTGTGTGACCCGTGCTGTGAGATGTGAGTTTGAAGCATCATTGATTAAAAAAAGAAACGACTTTTAAGTGACTCGAGGGAGAAGCTGCAATATTTCTTGAGTTATGTCACCGCTGTACCTTTTAATAGTCGCTGTGGCTGTCACTGCGTGTTTGAAAATCGCTTGAACGAATGTAAACTCAAGTTAGAAAGCTTCAAACAAACTGTGTACCTACGAGAGAAGAGCTGTTTGTTCTTTGAGTTTAATCCTTAACATCAACTTAAGAGCAAGAAAGGCAAATCGCTATGTTGTGACCAGCCCGAGATGCAGTGAGCAGGACAAACCCACCCTTCCATCCTTCCCCGTAATCATAGCCCACAGCCCTTGGAGAATAATGCTTCAACGCTGAGGGCTAATTTGAGCAGTGCTGCCAAGGGGAACACCAGGCACCAGCAGCAGCAGCCATGGTGTGTGTGTTCTTGGGGAGCGGTGGTGTAGTCTTCTCGGACTGCACTGCGAACTCGTCATTTTGAGTTTGATTCCCACAGCCTTGGCCAACATCAGTGGTGATTATCTGAACCGGTCCTTAAAAAAATGTATGATGTTAATAAATGCATGGGTTTTATGGAACAAAGTAGTTGTACTTACATGCCCGTCCTTAATTTGTATTTCGACGATTTACCTTAGAAATCTTGCATTCGATAATGTCTCGCACCCCCAGAAAGGGCGTCTCGCACCCCCAGAAAGGGCATCCCGCACCCCCAGGAGGTGTATGCACCCCAGGTTAAGAACCCCTGGTCTACTGTGTAAACAATCAGCACTGGAAAGGTACAGGTGGCCATTACGTGGTGCCAGCTACACCCTACCTACCCCCTTTTGTGCACCGTGCCAGCTTCTCATAGTTGCTTACTAACTCCACTTGCCCCAACGCCCCTGTATGGCTATACGGTGGGTCTTGGCCGTGTTTTCTTTCGTGGCTGGTTTCTTGACGTAACTTTAAGCAGGAATGCAGTGTTTTATCCCCGAAAAAGCTCAAGGTTATTGCAGTGAGCAGTCACAACTTTTGTGCAATATTGAAATGTACGTGTTTCCTGTTTTCACGTGGAAATTAATGCCCGCTGTCTCACAGTTATAACTGGTGCTGGGCGGTGATGATCTTCATCGTTTGACCGGAGCTGGTGGTGAATTGTCCCCATTGTTGTAGCAGGAAACCCAGTCTTGCAATGTCACTTGGCGGCCACCGAGTTTGTTCATGAGGATCAATTGGGTGTAAAAGTTGGCCAAAGCTACCACAGTTCGGGATCCTTCTGGAAAAAAAATTAGGTGCCTATTTTACCAACCCTTGGTAGTGATGATTGACAAGCCAGTGTTAGAAACGATGAGCTAGATGGTGGAATTTCCACAGCCGTGTGACCTAAAACAGATTTTTCATAACACACCAGCCACCGTTGACACCCAGCCAACTGGTACAGAATGCTCGGTAATGATTCGGACAAACATGCCATCCAGAAACCCTGTGATAAATGGTCTTGAGCTTTGATGCATTTCTTTGTAAATAAAGCACTTATAAGTGCATCCTCGGCAGGTGGTACTCATTTCATCTTGCCTCGAGTGATGATGATGATGATTATGCAAATGCAGTTGATTTGACTTGAGATTTGAACTCTTCATAAACTGGAAGCCTCTGCTGTTCCACCAAATGCTGCAACATGGCCGTTTGTACTTGCAGGTTCTAAATCCATTTGGCTCACTATCATTAATTTTATTGTGAGAGGCAACAGTGGTAGCAATGATTTACAAGCATAACCGGGACAAACTGTAAAATGCCTGCGAGTAAATCCGGCCTAACTGAAATAATTGTTTCACTCGTTTACCCAGGAAAGCCTCACTGAGTCTCATGACTGTTTCAGGAGTGTCCTGCCAAGTTTTCGCAGTCGGGGGCGATGTGTGTAATCCAAATTGAGTACATTCTTACACCAAGCAGTGCATGTTCAGTGAATGGGCACAGGCCATACGCACACAAACACAGGAATACCTGGAGTCATTGTACTTTGAACCTGGGAAATAGAGTACCAGTCGCACACGCAGCTGATCTTAGCACCTGACAGGTGTTTCGGGTTATACGATATGTGAGTGCGTGACCGCGCATGTGTACGGTGCATATGCGTGTGTGTTTGTAATAGGGAGCGGTAGTTTAGCGATTAGCGCGCTGTACTACGAACCTTGCGACATGGGTTCGATTCCCGCTCATGGCCAACACCAGTGACGATTATTTGAACAGGTCCTGGGCCTCCCCGAAATCGAGTCAGTCTCAAATGAGTACCTGGTGCGATGTGTAGACATCGCCACTTGGGAGACAAAGGCGGCCAGGCGTGGTGTTGGCCACCTACCCCCTAGTGTGCCGTGCCGGCCTTCATAGGTGCTCACTAACAGCACTTGCCCCAACAGTTTGTTAAGGCTACATAGGGGATCTTTGTCTTTGAAACGGGGAGTGGAGAAGCAGTGATTGGCATAGTGTGCTACAAACTGGATAACTGGAGTTTAATTCCCAGTGGTGATTATCTGAACCAGTCCTGTGCCTCCCCAAAGGTCGACTCAGGCTTAATTCAGTACGTGGGGCAATGTGTAAACATCATTACTGGGGCGACACATGTGGCCAACGTGGTGCTGGCCACATCACCCCCTCGTGTGCCATGCTGGCTTTAATCGGTACTCGCTAACAGGACTGTCCCCAGCAGTCTGCATGGCCTTCGGGAGAGATTTAGTTTTTGATGTGAGTGGCTGCGTTTATGTGACAGTGGATATGTGCGACTGTGTATGTATGGTCTGTGTGAGCGTGTTTTGTATAAATATGGTGTGCGGTTTTGGTGTGATGGAATTGTGGTGAGCGCATACTATGCTACGGTGCCAGCAAACATAGGAATATAGTGATATCAGAACCTGTCTTGAGCCTGCCCTCGAGTGACTCAGCCTCAGACGAGCACCTGATGTGGTGTGTAAAGCATTGGCACTGGGGCAGGGGTCGGCAACCTTCCAAAGAAGGAGAAGAGTCATTTTTTTTTGTCTTTGACCAAAAGTATTTCGAGAGCCGCATCACACGCAGCGAGAGCCACTTGTATACAGACACAGCAGTAGGTATAGAGCGGATGACAACACACATTCTGATTTAAATAAACAATATGGGTGATGGAATCAACTGTGTCTATTTAGGTAGTTTGTTTCCCCTTATTCTTGAACAATACAGTTTGACTTGATTTTCTTGTTACCAATACGCTAAACATTGCATCTATGGGAAAGTAGGTGGGGGACCCCCTGTGCTACATTTTTGAGTGTAAAGAACCGAATATGGTCAATTACATTTGTTTCTTTTATAAAACGCCTGCCCGCAAGGGGGGCAGCCAAAGAGCCTCGAAGGGGGGGGGGCAGACAAAAAGCCTCAAGGCGGGGGGGCAACCGAAGAGCCACAGGTTGACGACCCCTGGTCTGTGAAAACAAAATGCGACTGGGTATGGTGCCGGCCTCACACCCCTCTCAGGTTTTGTGTTGGCCTCCTTCGGTGTTCACCAACTTCACTTGCCCAGACATTCTATCCAGGGCGAAGTAGATCTTGGCCATGTGTTCAATTATGTGTGTGTGTGTTAAGTGTTTTCTTAGGCAGGTTTCCCAGTCTGCAAATATATTTGTGTAGTACTGGCAGTGTCAGAGTGCATCTTGTGTGCACTGCCGTTGGAATGTGTCACATAGCTGGTAGCTAAATGACATTTAGGCACCCTGATGACTCCCAAAAAGGTCAGAAAGCACGTGGGGCCAGGTGCGGTTGCGTTTATTACCGAGCGCGCGTGTAAAGCGCATGCAGTTGTGTCGCTGCACTTGTCGGAAAGTGCTCTCAGCGTGTCAAGGTGTTCACGACGTGGGTGTTAATATTGTTTCGCGGCATTAAGTGATATCTTGCATGGGCGGTCATTGACAGAGGCAAGGACCGCCCATGCATTTAACAGCAGGGGTTTCACGTCTTTGCCTGCCTGCCTGCTTGCTGGCATAATTCATCGTGTAGCCATGTGCTTGGGTACAAGAGTCAAGGCTTGGAAAAATTGACTTGCAGTTTATTTGTGCCTTAACATTCTTAAGGGTTTTCATGTATACGCACAGCTGGTGTCTCAGCCAAGTTTGCATGCACTTGTGTGTGGGGAGCGGCAGTGTAGTAGTCATCTCACTGCATTACGTACCCAGTGCCCCCCAGTTTGAATCCCACTCACGGCCAAAATCGGCGGTGAATATCTGAACCCTTCCCTGTACATCCCCTAGGTTGACTCAGACGTGAGTGAGTACCTGGTACCAATGGGGAGACATAGGCGTGTTGGCCTCAAAGGTTCTCGCTAATAGCAGTTGCCCCAACAGGGGAATCTTTGTCTCTGTTTGGAGGGGGGGGGAGTGTTTTGAGTTTTTTTTATGGGCCGTGTTAAAATTCTGGTGACCTGGGTTCGATTTCCTTCCTCATACAGAATTGGCAGCATGTTGTATGTGAACCAGTGCTGGGTGTTTCCTAGGTTGACTTAGCCGTTAATGGCTACCTGGTGCATCGTGGTTAAAATTAATACTCGGGAGACAGAGGTGGTAGAGCATGTTGCTGGCCACATGACCCCTCGGCCACATGACCCCTCAATCAGTGCACGGGGTGTTTATCAGAATGGGCATCTGTGTGTGTGTGTGTGCGGTATTAGAATTACTTTGCATGCTTTGTTACCTTGCCACAAGGTAACAAAGCACGAGTGTTACCTTGCCACATTTTCTGTGGGTTTGCTTCACATTAGCTTGTGCTCCACTTAGACCCTGCTGCATTTGCTAACATTTTCCGTCTTAAATTACACGTCCCATTCGCACTTGGGGGGTCATGTCATTAACCGTCGTAGGATGAATCATCTTTCAGATCATCACGACAATTTGGGGATGCCGGCTATAAAACGTGACATCGCAAAACGATGATAAAAGTTTGCGTCAATGCTCCCATATCACCCAATCCTGGATGTTGCTGCTGCTTAATGCCCTTTGGATAGTCATTCGCTACGCGTCAGTCATCCATTACGCTTTATTTATGACCTTTAGCCGTCGCAAGTCGGTATTTGCTGCAAGACGTGATTTTTTAAATATATAATGATCTGATTTATTACTGACAAGGCTGAGACCATCCCCTCGCTGCACTTGAGAACTTCGTTTGACGATCGGCTGCTGGAGAGCCCATATTCGAGCTTGCGGGTTCCAGCGGTGTTGGCCAATTGCTGCGACAGCCATAATGAGTCTCATGGGGGGGCACACGACGATCATCCCCCCTTCTTAAGTATTGTACCCATCGTATAATATCTGTATTTCTAGAAACTTGACAACTTCAAGCCCGATTTGCTAAGTTTAGCACCATATGGTGGCCTAAACATCACCTCACTGTGCCTCCCGTGGGAAATCAAAGTGCCAGTGGGTCATAGCTTCTAGGAAATGGCAGTTAAAAATTCTCCACGTTGCACACTTTTTACACAGAAGGCGGCAAGACAAACTGGTAGTTAAGAACACGTGGTTTCATACAGTGTTCATGGTCACACGTTGTGCGTGTGTCGCCGTGCCATCGCGCACACGAATGACAACAATTGAGAGGCGTAAAGGTTTTCTGCAGGAAATGCCGTCGGGATACCCGTGGCAATGGTGCAGCCCTTCACATTTGCTTTACTCACGCCTCTGCTGGCACAAGCGCCTCCACCCTGGGTAGGTCCGGAGAGCCCCTCTAGTGGGGTATTACGGCCTCCTATTTAATGCTGGCCAGATGCTTAGGAAGAGCTGGGAATACCCACACTTTACCCCACCTCGCACCGATCTGCCAATCCACCAACTGAGATGTGTTACCCTAATATGCCTTTGGGTGGACAGGGGGGGGGGGAGTTAAGAAGCTTTCCCTGTTGTTTTAACAGCCGCGATGGAGCAATACATTCCGAAAGCACCATCGGACAGCTTCACGGCACACGTGTGAACACCGACGAAGTATATAAATAAAGACAAAGATCCCACATATAGCCTTAACAGACTGTTGAGGCAAGTGCTGTAAGTGAGCACCTATTAAGGCTGGTACAGCACACAAGGGGGTGGGTGGCCAATACCATGCCCGGCCGCCTTTGTCTCCCCAGTGGCAATGCTTACACCGCACCTGGTACTCATTTAAGGTTCAGTCAACCTAGAGGATGTGCAGGATCGGTTAAGTTATTCGCCACTGTTATTGGTCATGAGCGGGAATTGAACTCGGGTGTCTGGGTTAGTCACACAGCTCGCTAACCATTGGCCTCCTGCTCCCCACTAACACAGACACACGCGCGCGCGGTACAGTCATTCACAAGATTCGTATTCTCTTGCAATGCTATTTATATATTCGGGTTGCTTTAGCAGGGAGGCCCAGCGTTCGAATCTCTGTGACCTGACATGGCCCACGTTTTGAGTTACAACCGTGACCTCTCAATGCCCTTTATTTCATTTGAATGGATGTTTCGTTTGAAGTTTCTTTTTTTTAATGGTGGGTGGGCCGCAATCAATATTCGTGGTCCTTGGGGCAATTATTCACAAATGGGAACGATGCCATCGTATCCTGGATATTATGACGGTAACGCTCCATTGTAAATTGGGGGCAGTCGGAGACAGGCCGGCCAGTATATTGTCTAGAGACCTCATCATAGACCAATCGATCAGTCTGTTGTCTAGAGACCCCAACAGAGATCGGTTGGTCAGCCTGTTGTCTAGAGACCTCATCATAGACCAGCCAGTCTTTCGAGAGACCCCAACACAGACTGGGCGATCAGTCTGTTGGCTAGAGACCCCAATATAGACCGGTCGATCAGTCTATTGTATAGAAATCCCATCAGAGTCCAGTCTGGTAGTTTGTCTAAAGACCCCATCGGCGGCAGTCTGTCAGTATATTTTCTCAAGAACCCCATTACAGAATGGCTAATGAAAAAAAACATAATTGAGTCTTAGGACACTTTTTTCAGGAGGGGGTCTTCACTTTGTACATCTGTTTAAAGCTGGTTCAGAGGTTTTTTTTCTCAGCGCATCATCCATTCAAGATCATTAACCAAACTGGAAAATTAACATTGCCTATCCTAATGGGGCAGACTTTCTCCCATCATGGAAATGTGGAATTCACATTGCTGACTCAGTATTGACAACGGAGGTGATCACTCTTCACCGTACATTTAAACAGGGCACACGTGGACTTTTAGAGGCATTTGTGTTTTTCAAATGCAAAGGCTTGTCGGTGTGGGTATAAACTGGCTTAACATCCATTGAAAGGGGACCAATGCAGCTTCCAGCTCAATTTCACTTTCGTTTTCTTCTCTGAGAATCATAACAAGTGGTTATTTGCAAGAATAACTGTTTGATAACTGATTTTTTTGGCAGTGATGGCGATAAGGATGTTTGTGTGAATTAAGAGGGAAAGTGACGCAGCGCTAACATATCTATGCATTGCGCCTCCGATAAGCACGGTTGGTTACGTACGGTGCAAAAGAAGTTCAACATACATACTCTATTGTGAAAATAAAAAGATCTCCTTTCGAAACCATGCCACTATGTAAATGTGATTAAAAACGGCTCTACATACTCACCTCTCTCAGCGTTTTGCCTCCCCCCCCCACTCCAATTATATCCTGATTGTGCAAAGAGGCATCATATCCATTTGGATCTCTCCCAGGGACTGGCCCACAGAAGCAGGTATTGCAGAACTACTTGTGAGATCCCTTCAAGTAATCTCTGGTCTACACCCTAAGGTGCAGAACTTTCCAATCCACTCTGCCACTGAGACCTATGTTTGTTAAATTGGCAGTTTAACCAAATTCAACTGCAGAACCAAATTTGATGTTTACTTGTGCGGTCATAGGTAAATGGGCTGAGATTGTGAACTTGCCACCTTTGAGATACTCTGTTTAATCACAATCAGTGGCCTGCATTCTAGCCCGGGGTCTCAGCAGGTTGTCCGCTCATCACTCTGACCTCTGAGCCCCACCTGGCCACTTTTGCGCACCCACCTTTCCTAAAGATCTCTACCACACGCTAGCAAGCAAGACGATTGAGGGAGCGTGTGTGTATATATATAAAATAATTATTGGTGAAATTCAACATGCTCAGGGAACTATTTTAAAGGCACGTAGCAGCAGGCACGCACTTCCAGCGTGTGCAAGCTTACCCGCACAAAATTGCACTAATGGCATTGGTATGCAACATCGCGGTTTTTCTTTTTTTGTGAAAGTACGCTATGTTTTTGCCAGTCTTGCCTGAAAATTACAACAGTTCTGGATAAATGGTATATTGGTAAATCGTGTGGTGGGCTTCATAGCCGGTGGGTTGAGGGGTTTTGTCGTGTTCTTGGAAGCAAATACAGTGTCTTCGGACAGACGGGGCAAACGGACAGACGCGAATTTGCAGGGGCAGAGCGACAAATAGTCTAACCGCTCCCTTCGTGCGGGTAAAGCTAGAGTTATGCACACCGATTACCCACCACAACAGCCATTTCATCATCAAACCTGTTTACGTAGCTTCCGCATGCAATATAATTGTCCGTTTTATTTTGCGATTGATTTTTTTTGGTCGGGCGTGCAATAAATTCCTACGCTGCACGAGATCAATTGCTGCTGGTTTTAGAGTAAATGGCGTAGGTGCAGAGAAATGGGTGGAGTGGGATTCTGGGTTCTTGGGTGCCCGAGCTGATGAGCGTCTGAAAGCACCGGGAGGGTACCTCTAGGATTATGGGTTCAATGTCTGGGCTTGGGCGGCTGGTAAGGATCCAAAACGCTTAGACTTGAGGCTTTAAAAAGACAACTCTGGGCCTGGGTGTTATTTAAGGAATTGATGCCAATGGCTAGCGCATTGATCCATTCCCTCAGGGATTTTAATTTCAAGTCATCGTCCTCTCTGGGTTTCTTTTTAAGAGGCTCATGTCTCTTTATGCTGTCGTAGGGAACAGCATTCCCTCTGCCATTATTTTCCCATATCTAACTTTCACTATTTCTCTTCCCCTGAAAAAGTAGAGTGAGGTTTCACAGTGGCAAGCTGTTAACCACCTCGCCTGGTCGATCTCGACCCTGACCCCTATATATTTTGAGTTTGCACGTTCTCCCTGTGGTCATGTGCATTTTTCTCCGGGCCCTCCGAATTTTCATTCCATATTTAGAATCAACGTGCGTTTATAGTATTTGGCTGCTATGAATTTCCACGTGATAAGCCACTTCGTTGAGCTATAATTTGTGGCCAGGTCGCTTCTGAAAAATAACTATATCGCTAAGTGGGCCATGCCTGATAAAATAAAAAGTGTGTTGTTAGTTTATGTACCAGATTGTTGGTCATAATTCAGAAACACAATGCCGAGATCTTCCCCTCCTCGGATATGTTTTTCTCTAATAACCATGTAAGTTGTCTCTCGTACGTTTGGAAAAATCGGCAAAAATAAGGTCTAAGTATTAAAACCTTTGCGGTTGTTTAATTTTATTCACTATTTTATGTTGGAGAGCCACAGTGAGTAAGATTTCTTTAGGAGGATCCTGCTTTGAGTTTTTATTTTAAGATGTTTTCAGCCAATTCATGATGAGTGTTCATTATACAACTTTGAGGCAACCGGAGCACCCGTAGAAAACCCATGCATGCGAGAGGGGGCAACACTCTATCCCCATACAAATGGGAACAGATGGCGATTAGTCCACTTGTCGTACTGCCTTCTCCTGGTGAGCCCGGTTATGGCACCTCCTTGACGCCCACGAGATGGGTGTTTCACAGAATCTTTGCGGTGGTCCACCAACCCTCACTTTCTGCCTCCACAGTGCTGGATTACGGGCAGCCACGTGGATAGCCACCGCCACCCGGCTTGTTGGGTAGCACAAGAAACAACCCCAACTGGATGAATCTAGAGTTCTCGAGTCACGCTTTATTCATAGGGCATGGAAACTCCCTCCCTCTGCTCGAACCTTCATTGAAAAAACTAAAATTCAATGCATTCGTCAAGCTTTCATTCGCTCTACCCTCCGCGGTCGTGCCAGTTATTGGATTTCTACGCAGTAGAATTGAGCGGCAGTAAAATTCAACTTGTTCACAGTAACTGTATGATTACAAGGCGGTCCGTTTATAGATACTCCACTCAAATAATAGGGAGAAATCGTTGTGAAAACAACATTTAATTTGTCTCTCACAAACCTCGATGAACTTATTACGTCATTTAACACTCTCCTAATACACTGGGTACAATGTAGCTGCTGCAGTTTGCTTTCAATGTGCAATGATGCAGAAGCTGAGGTCATTGATTGTCAGTGGGGTAACTCTAACTGAATCCCCCTGTATTATTCTCAAACCTCCAAACCCAATTGTGGTTTGAAGGAAAGGGCTTATGCCCTATAAAGAATAACATGTGTCGACTGAAACAGAAGTGGCCAACAGGGCGATAGGGCTGAACTCTGAAATATCTCTCGAGTTTATTTTGTGTTTGGTTTGCATTTCCTCATAGCACACTTTTGCATGCGGAGAATGGCTGTCACGACCCATCAGGTGCGCGCCCTCCCTGCGCGCTTGCTGGAGTGCTCACTAATGAACATTCGTCAGTTGTAATTGACGGCACGTTGGTGTGTTTACGCTGCCCCTCTTCTCACTGCCATCACCTTGGCTTTCACCATGGCAACTTGGCTGAGATGGTCACTGATCTGGGATGGCCTGGCTTTAATCCCCGGCCTATTTGTGCTCGTGTCCGGGAGATTATACAATATTCTGCCCCGTGCCACTTGTGTCAGGTGAAAGTGCCTCCGTGCTCAAACTGGCCATGGGGTGACACTAATCTCCTTGAACGGTGGAAATTCAAGGAGATTGCACATTCTAATGGTGGGGACGAGTCTCGCCATAAGATTACCATGTTGGAACGGACAACCTCCCTGTTGACTATTTACTTATTTTCTTCGTCCACAAACAGATATAGGGTGTTGTGTACTGAGACAGTGATGGAATACAACATTTTGTTGGCAAAGGCAAGGACATTCTAGGGACAACTTTGTGTTTTTTTCCCTACAGTGGTGCTTTTAGATAAAACAATCCGATTCACTAACCTGCTTGCGTTCATCCCTTAAAACCGTCTCTTGTCCCTCGCCGTGATGCTACTGCTGCTCCATGGCCCCGCTCCCCAGCTACTACCAGGCCTACCGCAATCGCAATCACTACCCCTATCACGACCCCAACCACTGTCATTACCCCTATCACTACCCCTACCGCTATCAATACCCAAACCCCTTTCACTACCCCAACCCTTCCTTAACCACTCCCGCCTGTTCTCCTGTCACCATAGCTACACCACTACCACTTTTAACAACGACCCCACTGTTTATTTCAACCACTCATGTCCAATTTGTTAATTGTTATAAACCGCATTGGAATAAGGCACTTATATAAGTGTATTAAGGATAATATAATTTACGTGATTAACTGATATACATTAATTGGCCATGCTATGCTGCCCAGAATAAGCGATATACATGTGTACTTTTACTGGGTTTTGTTTATGTTGCCATCAGAGCCAAGTGTGCTTTGAAATAGCCGCAACGTGAACTAAACTTGGTCCAGCAAAGAGGGATGAGTCTGCTTGGCAAATGATCCAACACCACCCAGTGGAACAGATGGTATTTATTCACCATCAGCCTGGGCGATTCAGTGGCCAGAGCGCAGTTTAGAAAGTGGGTTGTAAACCGACCGTACCCTCGCAATGCGTGACATTCTCTCCACACTCTCTGGTTTTCTCCCAAGCGCAAAAACACTCCTTTAATGAACGCTGACCAAACATCCCATTGCAGGTGCCTCTTGATAACAGGTCTTGAGGCTCACTGCGGCTTCTTGGATGAATTAAAAAAAAACCCGATGTGACTTGCGCTCAGGGTGATTTCCAGCACGCATCTCTCAATGATTATGTTGGAAACTTTTCAGTTTCTGTTCCATTATCTTGCTGTGGTCTGGGACTGTTGTTTTTGCTACCTTGCCCAAGCTTGATAAATCGTTTTTTTCGTATCATTTGCTGCTATAACTTTGCTGACCTGCCCATACTGGACATCTGTGAAAAAGAGCTTCATGGCTCATTGGATTCTTCCTGCAGTCTAAATACAGATTCTTATTTTTCACGAATGACCGTGCTTCCGATCCGTATGTCAGAGCAGGTAGTACGCGTTTAAACGACGCATTTTTCCTGAGGCACATTGCGAAGTTAGTTTAAATCATCTTGTATTGTTGTTCACAGAAAGGGGAACATAGGGATTAGAGAACACATGCAGGTCACAGATGTCATTTTATCTGTTCGGACAAGTGTGCGGACTTGGACTGGACACATCGCTCGAAGGAAAGATGGCTGATGGTCAAAAATAATGATAGGCGACAACCAAGGGATGGAATGCGTCCGATAGGACGTCAGCCGAGGAAATTAAGTAAATAAATCAGCTTTTAGGAATTTATGTATGTTGAACTTCTTTCGCACCGTACATAGCCAATTGTGCTAATCGAAGCAGTGGGGGGAAGGACAACAAACTAAACACAAAAAGCAGTTCTAAAGAAATTCGT